CGGCAGCTCCACGGCCTCATTTCAGGGCCACGTCAAAGTCCAGCACCAGCAGCTTCGTCTCCTCAGTCCCGTTGCGGCTTCCGACGGCACAAACCAGCTTGGTGTTCGAGGCCCGAATGCGCCAGACCACCCCCCCGCTGCCCCCGCTCCCCAGGGCCACCAAGTTGCGCACAAATTCGCCCGTCTTCAGGTCCCACAGCTTGACCGTGCCGTCATCGGAGCTGGTCACCACGAACTTGGAGCTGAACTGCAGGCACGTCACGGCACTCTGGTGCTTGCTGGGACCTGCGAGGGAGGGTCCCCCCCCCCCCCCCCCCGGACCGCCATTCCCTCAGAGCAGCAGCTACCAGGGCTCCCCCCCCCCCGGGTCTTAGCTGTGTGGACACACATTCAGAGGCTACTGACCATGGACAAGAGACCAAAGAAGGGGTCAGACTCACTGCCACAGGAGGTGGCGGTGGCTACAAGCCTGGACAGCTTCAGGAGGGAATTAGATCAGCATATGGAGCAGAGGTCCACTAGTGGCTATGAGCCACAAGGTACAGGTAGGGACTCTCAGTCTGGGGCAAGGGACGCTCTGTGTGCTTGGGGGAGGGGGGCCACAGTGGGAGGGGGGGCTTCTAATGTCCTGGCCCCACTGCTGGGCCTCCTGATGGCGCCTGGTATTTCTGGCCACTGTGTGACAGAGTGAGTGTTGGACTGGATGGGCCCTTGGCCTGATCCAACACGGGCTTCTCTCTTCTGTTCTCTGACGTTCATGGTTGCAGGCAGGCCAATGGGGAGGGGTTGTGGCTCAGTGGCAGAGCATCTGCTTGGCACACAGGAGGCCCCGGGCTCAATCCCCCAGAAGCACCTCCCCTTAAGAGGACCAGGCAGGAGGTGATGTGGAAGACTTCCTCTGCCTGAGACCCCAGAGAGCCACTGCCCGTCTGCATGGATAAGACTGACCTTGATGGGCCCGGGGGTGTGTGTCTGCGAAGGCAGGTTCGGGGGGAGTGTGCGAGTGTTCAAGACAATAATATCCAGCCCTGGCTGCTTTTGTGACCCAAAGGACCTCTCCCCTCGGATGAGGCTTCAGTGCTCGGCCAGCGGCTGGAAGCCACGCCACAGGGCCCCCCCCCCGGCACCCACCTTGCAGGGTCTGCAGGCACTGGCCCGTCTTGATGTCCCAGATCTTGACGGTGGAGTCGGCGTTGCCAGAGACCAGGATGTTGTCCCGCAGCTCCATGCCGCTCGTCAGGGACTGATGCCCCATCAGCGTGTGGAGGCAGTTGCCACTCTCTGCATCCCACACCCGAATCGACGTGTCCAGAGAACCACTGACAATGTGGCTCCCGTCAAACTGCAGCAGGAGACAGAGGCACGGCAAGCTCAGCGTTGCTAGCGGCTGAACTCGGCGGGCGGGCAGGCAGGAGGGGGGCAGCCCCGGGCACTGACCTGCAGGGAGTAGACGCGGTTCGTGTGGCCTTGCAGGGTGTGGATGCAGCTCTCTGTCTCTGGGTCCCAGACCTTCACCGTGTAGTCGTAGGCGCCACTCACCACCTTCTGACCATCGTACTGGACACAGCGCACGGCCGCCACGTGGCCCATCAACACGTGCAGGCACTGCCCCGTCTCGATGTCCCACAAGCGGAGAGTAGCATCCCGAGACCCACTCACCACCCTGCAAAGGAAGGGAAGCGTCTGGGGCTGAGCCATTTGGGGGAGGGGGCGGGGCTGCCCCACCTGGAGGCCAGTCAGTCTGACGTCGATGCCGGGTAAATTGGTGGAAACCATTATTAAGGAAAGAATTAGTAGGCACATAGATGAACAAAACCTATTGAGGCAGACTCAGCACGGTTTCTGTAAGGGAAGATCTTGTCTCACTAACCTGTTAGTGTTCTTTGAGGGGGTGAACAAACATGTGGACAAGGGGGATCCAATAGATATTGTTTACCTTGACTTCCAGAAAGCTTTTGATAAAGTTCCTCATCAAAGGCTCCTAAGTAAGCTCAAAAATCATGGGATAGAAGGACAGGTCCTTTTATGGATCAAAAACTGGCTAATTAATAGAAAACAGAGAGTGAGTATAAATGGGCAGTTCTCCCAGTGGAGGGGTGTAAGCAGTGGGGTACCACAGGGATCAGTACTTGGTCCACTGCTTTTTAACTTGTTCATTAATGATTTGGAGTTGGGAGTAAGCAGTGAAGTGGCTAAATTTGCGGATGATACGAAGTTGTTCAGGGTGGTGAAAACCAGTGAGGATTGTGAGGCACTCCAAGGGGATCTGTCAAGGATGGGCGAGTGGGCGTCAACATGGCAAATGGGGTTCAATGTGGCCAAGTGCAAGGTGATGCACATTGGAGCCAAAAATCCTAAATATAAATACACGTTGATGGGGTCTGAACTGGCAGAGACTGATCAAGAGAGAGATCTTGGAGTTGTAGTAGATAACTCACTGAAAATGTCGAGACAGTATGTGACTGCAATAAAGAAGGCCAATGCTATGCTGGGGATTATTAGGAAGGGTATTGAAAACAGATCAGCCAATATCATAATGCCCCTATATAAATCAATGCTGCGACCTCATTTGGAATACTGTGTGCAGTTCTGGTCACCACACCTTAAAAAGGATATTATAGCTTTGGAAAAAGTGCAGAAAAGGGCAACTCGAATGATAAAAGGGTTGGAACACTTTCCCTATGAGGAAAGGTTAAGGCGCTTAGGGCTCTTTAGCTTGGAGAAACGACGACTGAGGGGTGACATGATTGAGGTTTATAAGATTATGCATGGGAAAGAGCAGGTAGAGAAAGAGGTACTTTCTTCCCTTTCTCACAATACAAGAATTCCTTGTGGGCACTCAATGAAATTGCTGAGCGGTTGGGTTAGAACGGATAAGAGGAAGTACTTCTTCACCCAAAGAGTGATTGACACTTGGAATTCACTGCCACAGGAGGTGGTGGCGGCTACAAGCATGGATGGCTTCAAAAGGGAATTAGATAGGCATATGGAGCAGAGGTCCATCAGTGACTATTAGCCACAAGGTATAGATAGGGGCTCTGGGGCAAGGGATGCTCTTGTCTTCTTGGTGTTTGGTGGGGGGTCAAGAGTGGGAGGGCTTCTAATGTCCTGGCCCCACTGGTGGACCTCTTGAAGGCCCCTGGTGTTTTTGGCCACTGTGTGACACAGAGTGTTGGCCTGGATGGGCCTTTGGCCTGATCCAACATTGGCGTCTCTTATGTTCACCCCCTCCTGCCGCCCCCACCCAATTCACCTACCGGGTGTCATGGAGGTGCATGCAGCGCACGGTGGACGTGTGCCCGTAGAGGGTGTGCACGCACTCCCCTGTGTCTGCATTCCACACCTTCAGGGTCCGGTCGGTGGAGCCACTGATGACGATGTTGTCCCTCATCTGGGAGGACCAGACGCCGCCGGTGTGTCCCACGAGAGTCTGCACACACTGGAGGGGGAGGAGAGGCGCTGAGAGAGCGGGAGGGAACAACAACGAGCGCCGCAGGGGTGGGATGTGGAGACAGACGGGATCCAGGCTTACCTCCCCCGTGAGAGCCGACCAGACCTTGAGTGTGTTGTCATCCGAGCCACTGACAATGCGGTTGCCGCAGAACTGGAGGCAGGTGATGACATGGTCGTCGTGCCCTTTCAGGACCTGGCCAGGGAGAGAGCAAAGGACTCGGTGGCGCTGCGGCTGCTGCCCGTGGGGCGGGCGGGGGGGGGGGGACTTCCCGGGGGGGGCCGAAAGGGGGAGTTCGGTCTAATGCAGGTACTGCCGAGTTGCTGAGGCCAAGGAAGTGGGGGGAGATCACGCCCCCCCCCCCGAGTCCTGGTGGGACCCCAGCACAGCTCATGCAGCTCGACCACCCGTCCCCTGGGAAGCCTGGTCTCCCCACAGTGGTGATGACGCTTCGCCCGGCCCCCCCGGGGGGGGGGTTGCTGGTGTTTCTAACTTCCTGACAGAGCGGTCCCTCGGGGGAACAGGCTTCCTCGGGAGGGGGTGGTGGGCTCTCCTTCTTGGGCGGTTCTCAGACAGAGGCTACAGGTGGCTGATTCTGTGTGACCGTAGTCAGATCCCGAGAAGGGAGGGCAGGGAGGGTTGCAGCCTCAGGGCTTAGGGTTCTCCTGGCCCTTTCTAATACGCCCGGGGAAATGCCGATCGCCACTTTGGGGGCAGGAAGCCATTTTTCTCCAGGCCAGTTTGGCCCCCAGTGATCTTGGAGGGTTTTCTGCCATCTTCTGGGCATGGAGCAGGGGCCACTGGGTGTGTGTGTGTGTGTGGGGGGAGAGATGTATTTGTGGATTTCCTGCCCTGTGCAGGGGGTTGGACTAGGTGACCCTGGAGGTCCCTTCCAACTCTAGGATTCTAAATCTGGAGTAAGAGGCTGGTGGGCTAGTTCTGCCAGCCTGGATGGCCCCTTTCATTGCCCACAGATACCCCAAATAAACCCCTACCCCCATTGCCCGTTCTGGTGGACACTGGCAGCTGCTGGGGGAATGTTACGGGGAAGATCCACTTGCACCAGAACCACCAAGGATGCACAGGATCCAACCTGTTGCATTCTGCAGTTGGAATTACTTTGGCCACTAGCCTGCTTGACCATCAAAATACAGAACTGAATAACAGCACACGATACCCTCTGCAACTCTAAAGCCTTGTGGGGATTCTGTGCGCAGCCCCGTGGCTGTTCATCGTGGGACAGGACCGCTCCTCGCACTTGCTGCCCAGGTGGCCGGAGGAGTCCCAGCCCTGTCGCCATCCGTCAGAAACTGGAGCCCCACCCCAGATGCAGTGCCACTGAGCACCGCCATCCTGCCTGGAGCTGTGCAAGAGCCGGCAGCCCCCAAGGCGCCCCTGCCGCTGCTGGCCCCTGCGTGGGCTCCTGCCCGCTGAGGACCCAAAGCGCACGCCACACAGCTAGCAGGGCAACCCCTGGCGGCAGCCCCCGTGTGTGTGTGTCCTGAGCCCAGCCCCGTGCCGGGGGGGCCCCCGGAGGAGGAGGAGGGCGGCGTCCTCAGGCACGCCGAGCAGCGCGTTACCTTGGGGTGCCGCGCATCCCCACCCCGCCAGTTCATGTCGATTCGGTGCTGCCGCAGGAAGGCCAGTTTCCAGGGGCTGTACATGAAGCCCGGGCTGAGCAGCCGCCGCTTGCGCAGGCTCAACGGCTCTTCGATGCCTGCAAGAACACAGAGGGCCCCCCCCGTGAGAGAGAGAGAGAGAGAGAGAGAGAGAGAGAGAGAGAGAGAGAGAGGCGGGAGGGGAGGCGGGAGGGGAGGGGGGGCACTCTCCCTCCCCACCCCACCCCACCCCGGGCGGGAGCCGGGCAGGAGGCCTCACCTGCGTCCCGGCACTTCTCCCGCCAGAGCAGGTTGTCCTCGGCCAAAATGCGCCAGTAGCGGCACGTCTGGGCGGCACGCAGCAGGTCGCGGGGCTCCAGGAAGGAGAGCACGTAGAGCGCCAGCTGCAGAGAGGCAGAAGGGGCCAGGCGTCAGGAGCGAAGCCCCCCGCCCTCCCCCAACAGCAACAACAACAGAAGCCCTCGAGAGCACCAAGCCCCCGAGTGCCATTGGGCCAGGGCCAGGGCCAGGGCCGGCCTGCGTTGGGGGGAGCCCCCCCCCACCTACCCGCGTCCCTTCTCCATCCCCTCGGTAGTTCAGGCTGCGAGATGTGCAGGGGTGCACTAACTGCTTCACCACCACAACAGCTCTCTGGGCCTGAACTCCCAGCAATGCAACTCCCAGCAACCCACTTCCCCCGGCAGCCCCCACTCCACGTTCAGAGCCATCAAGCCTCCGAAGGGAGAGTCCGGAAGCAACAGCGGCCTCCCGAGTCCAGCCAGGAGGGCGGTGGATGCACGGGAGGAATGGCTAGCGGGACCCAGCGGGGCTCTTCTCAGCCTGAGCAGGAGAGCAGCCCCCCGCCTGGCCTCTTCCCCCCCCGCTCCTCCCCCCCCAGCCCGGTGCAGCCTCTTGACCACCCGTGCCTGGCCCCCCCTCC